ATTTTGCTTTTGAGGCTTTCAGGGGGTCTCATGGGTTAACCCCCCCGTATTTCGCACACTGATCATAATGGTATATTATTAAAAGAAACCGTGATGAAGAAAAATTCAATTGAAGTCAGCTTATTAGTCATCACACTTGTCCACTTTGACAAAAAAAATCATAATATTCTAATTTCTATTTCACACTAAATGGCAAATATATTTATAATGGTAATTATATTACCATTAGGAAATATAATAATTTGTCAGAGTGAAATGAGCAGAATGCCTAATCAACAGCTTGTACGAAAGAAAAAAATAAATTTAAATTTGACCTGGCTCAGAGGGAACAAAGAATAGAGATTGTTTAAGTGCTTTAGATACAACTCCAACAGCAGATATAATTAACTTTAGAGAAATTTCTAACACAGCTACTCTTGATAAAACTGTTGATGATACAAAGAAAAGGCCGTGCTAATTGCGCTGCGGGTAATTTAATATCCCCACATCCTTTGTAGCTAATTTGTATCTATAGCTACTTGGATAGAAAAGCCACTAATTTATATTCAGCAGGTACAGACCAGAACAAATTAACTTCAGACACTAAACTTAAAACAAGATCTAATTTAAAATAAATCTGGAACAGAATTGCTTCTGGCTAATGTAACCTTGTGATAACGATTGACATTCTGCTGAAAACTCATTGATGGTTTTTGATGATGATTATGATGAAGTTCTTGCTTGCCAATGTTTTATGCTATTGTTACCTTTATTCATTCTCTCTCATTCACTCTAACCGCTCTCATCAGTGTTATTTTGAACAAAAGCTCAGATAAAACCATTAAACACGACCTGCACCAAATGGCACCGAAAATAGTACACAAAAGTTAGCAAGTAGCTATTAAATATAGTGGAGCATTTTAGCAGCTAAAGAGGCAAATATTTCCCTCCTTGTTTGGTGGACATCAAAACAGAAGCACAACTCTAAAAGAATGCTAATGTTGCTCACAAGTGGCAATCTCCGTGGTTGGCAAATGAATCCAACACGGAAGCAACAAAATGAGTTGCAGTTCCTGAAATAGCCAATGGGGAAGTCTACATGTTTTTAATTATACTGTCTATTTGTTCCATTTCTGCTTGATGTGTAAATAGGAAACTGCTAACATGTTTGCCATATCTGTCATTGTTAACAACTTGTTTCACTGCCCCCAAGTGGCCAAAAAATGTTTAATGTCAAATGACAGTGTGACAGTCTTTGGACTAATGGTCAGTAGTTAAAGCTATAGTCCAGACTATCCTTGGGTGGTTTTGATTCCAAATCATCTCTGGTCTTCCGTTTTGTTTGTATCCTCTATATATCCCCTCACTCCCCTCTTTCTGTCCCCTCTGCTCCTTCAGCCCCATGTGGAGGCCACTATTCAGCCCCAAGTGGAGTGATTTTGTCTCCTGGGTGGCCTGGGTACTACAAAGATTCCCTTAGCTGCGAGTGGGTGATTGAATCAGAACCAGGACGCTCCATCAAAATCACATTTGACAGGTGGGTGGCATAATTCTTTGATTCTGCATATTATAAAGACTCTCAGAGCTCTGAAGGGGCAGAACTGTGCAGATTCTTCAGATTTACCATCAATTACTTCTGACAAGCAAAGATTTACAGGACTTAAAATTTATGGGAATTCACCACGAGTATAATAATTATCTCTTAAATTTCATAGGCTGTATAATTAATATTGGGAGTTGTATATTGATTAGGAAGGCTGGGTAATATTTTGGTTTATGTTATATGTTCTCTGAGCCGTGAACTGGTGATAAAAACAAGACTTAAGAGGATCCAGTAAAATCATTTTTTATTGGTTTGAGTTTCTGTTTCAGCTTTATTTCATTGTAAAGTGCATTTAACAATATTGGCTCAACAACTTACAGAGGGCTCGACAGACTGGACCTCTTAAACTTTTTCTGTCTCCCTGCAGCATGTTTTGCCAATTAAACAAAAACCCCACAAATGTACAAAAATTATCTTAGATCAATAGTCATTATTATAAAGCTTTGCGATGGAAATTTAGCAGGTTTTAAGGACCAATTGGCCATCAAAGTGATTCAACATCAGCATTATGTTGCCTTGACAAGGTCTTGCTTTAATGTTTTGGTATGACTGCTGCGCAGAGCATTATGTGAAGAAAATTACATTGAACTTGTTTCCCATTTTGTGTTGTCCTAACTGTTTTAAATGAAATGTGAAAGCTTTTATTTTAAAATGAGAGTTTCACTTTATAAATAAATCATCATCAGCATTGTGATGTTCTTATATTGTTGTCTCACAGGTTTCAGACAGAGCTGGGTTATGACTTTCTGGAGATCCACGATGGGCCAAACCTCCTGTCTCCTTTGGTTGGCTCCTTTAATGGTACCCAGGTGCCCCAGTTCCTATTCAGCAGCAGCAACTTTCTTTACCTGCTGTTTACCACCGATAACAGCCGATCAAACGCTGGCTTCAAAATATTATATGAAAGTAAGTCAGAAACAAAAACAGCCTGTTTATGCATATACACAGGTAGACATGCATTCATAGATACAAACCTGACTTAATATTATCCACCATGCTACGTCTTCTACAGATCAGAATATTACACATGCACTTTATGTACATAACAGAACAGCACAAACATAACAGTAGGTGTGCGGGATGTCAGACAAAATTGCACGAGTAACCCACCAGAAACAGTCTACAACCTTGCCTCACGTGCAGTCATTACCTAAGAAAACCATGGTTGCACAGAATGGTGCTTTATGTGGAGATTATGCAGATCAGCAAAACTAAAGATAAAAGTCTTGTTTTATGTGCATACCATTTAGACATGTAATCACCTTTTTTTCAGGTGTTACAGTGGACAGCTACTCATGCCTGGACCCTGGTATCCCTGTCAATGGTATTCGGTATGGGCAGGATTTCTCCATCGGTTCCACAGTATCATTTGGTTGCGATTCTGGCTACAGACTCAGCCATGAGGAACCGCTAGTATGTGAGAAGAACCACTGGTGGAGCCACCCCTTACCTACATGTGACGGTAAATACGGTTCATTATAGGTATTCCTTGCTCTACATTATACCTGATATTGTTGTAGCACTGATCAAATTGCAAACTGATTGGTTTGCGGAGGCATACAACTGTGGAGTTGTGATTCTAATTAAAGTAAAAATAAGAAATTATGTTTTTCTTGACAAAAATAGTAAATCTAGTTGATTAAAAAGAGAATGAAGTATGTGAAAAAGATCAGCAGTGAAGCTTGCCATCACTGTATGGGGAGCTGAGTCACACAGAACATGTTGTTCTGCGACAAAACCACTGGTTGAAACACACACACA